AGCCGCCACTTTAAGATAAGATGATCGATAAGATGATCACTATCCAATTAGACATGAACATGTATGTATTCTTTATCTTCGAACTTTTATAAATTTTTAAAAAAAACAGAGAAAAGTTTGGTAATCTTTCTCTACTCAAAATCCAAATATAACAAATTCTAACTTGAAATCGGCTAATTTTATTTGATCACACTGAAAATACCGGTAGGCGTTTCAATTAAGTTAAACGTAAAATAAAGCAAGTAAAGCAAAATTTTTAAGCGAAAATTCATATAAAAGTTAAGTTGCTTTATTTTTAAATTTATATAAAAAAAAAGGGTTTATTCTAAATTTATACAAAAAAAAAGTTTTATATTTATAATGTTACTATTATAAAAATATCACGCTTCTAAATTGTAAAATTCTATCTCTATTATGTCTTATAATCAACAGATATACGGTAGACCACCTTCACAAGGCCCTCCACTACAAGTCCACTACTGCCACGACAAGGAAAAGTGTGCTATTAAAGTGCCAGGATTGTTTGCAGCTGGAGATGTAATTCATCCTACTAGAATTAAACAGGTAGTAACTGCTGCATCAGATGGGGCAATAGCTGCTCAGGCAGTTATTGAGCATTTAAAAAAGCAAAGCAATTTTTTAAATTAAACAACATCAACAAGGGGCAAAAGATAAACAAGTTCATGCAAATTAGGGCCTTTAATTTATTTGCTCAAACTTACGCAAAGCTAAGATGACTAAACTTTTTTCGCTGCAATTGTTTTGAAACATAAATAAAAAAAGCTTGCATCACGCGCTAAACACCAAAATTTAGAGTTACATATTCTTACTATTTATTTAGTCAATACTCACAAACAAATTAAGAAGGCTAAATTAAATAAAAAATGAAAGGCAATAGGAAAAGCTAAGTTTCAATTGCTTTCTTTATAAAAATAAATTAAGAAATTGTTAAAGGACTATAAGCTAAAAATAAACTAAAAAATTCTTTTAATGTAGATAAGTAGCTACTATGAATTAAGACGAAACTAAAAAAGATATTACATAGGGCATTGTGCCATTTTTATCAAAGTTTTTGAAGATTAGGTGACGAATTTCAACCTATATCTACTTCAGGTCCATCTTCGCAGCATGATTTGATACTCTTTAACAAAATTACTTATCATAGTGCTAATTTATACTTTTTTTTTTTTTTAGATTGGCCTACAAGACAGGTCAAACAAAATAGTTAACTAAGAATTTTACAATTCATTCTTAAATATGTACTGTACGTATACCTATAATTATCCTCTACGAAATCTAATACCATGTTCCAACCAAGAATTAATGCACATAAGAGCTTGTATACTCTTGTCAGATAGACATGTACGTTTGGCCCAAACTGTATCACCTGCTTTGGAGAATACTTGTTCAGATGGTACCGAAGTAGATTGGATGGCTAAATAATCTTTAGCCATTTGTGATAAATTAGGAAAGCGTGTACAATTTAGCTTCCACCAATCCAAAGGATCAATGTTCATGGATAAAATGGCCTCATTCAAATACTGATTAAATTCATCCGTTCTATTGATAAGTACATTTGTTCTTCGTTTTTTCTGAGCAATTTGCTCTGTATATGTTAAATTTATTTCGGAATTTGTAGACGAATCGTTTAAAATAGGAGAAGAATATTCGGATCTAAAAATATTATTGAAAATTGCACGGTTTGCTTCATTATTCATGTCTTCAGGCATTAGTTCGAGTTTAACTCGAGGGTCAAGGATAGCAGCCATAAAGGCTGTTTTATCATATATTTCGTTAGTATATTTTTGAACTTTGGTTGACATTTGGGTTGCAGCTGCTTTCAGGAATTTCGGACTTGTTGGATTTTGAAGATATAACGAAATAGTATTAACGATGCTATCCATTAGTACAATTGAAACACCCAAAGTCGTGTATGTACTGCCAGAAAGTACATTAGTAGTTTCGTAGAATGGCTTAAGAAATTGAGTTACGGCTT